AAAGTCATCAAACAAATGGTACATGTGAGTCTATTTCACACACTTTAATGTTGCATGCCCTAAAGATCCATATCATCTAATTAATATAGATCGTCAGATTGATGAGTCATATGGCTACAAAATATTGAGTTTTATAGATGCCTTTTCTTACTATAATCAAATCAAGATGGATCATGTTCAGTTTGGAAACCAGAAATAGATGTAGTCGAAAAACTGATGATCTTAAATGGTGGCTCGATCTCCTTTACAGTTGTGCGGGATGAACCTACATGGTTAGTACTCCAACACCCAAATCAGTTCAAGATTCAACATAAGTGTAGTGAAAAATGGAGATCATATATTATACCCGACTCTTTGAGTGTGAACTGCTTTTTATACCTTGGGTTAAGTGCAATGGATTTGAGATGAATTGGATCTTAGTCATTACGGCGTTTTGCCGGTCCATAACAGTTGCCCTCAAGGCTTTGTCAAGCACTGAAGGATTTGGGGTAAGCCTTAAGTGATGTTAACCAGCCTTTAAAACATTGCCTAATGTGAAATGAAATTTAAACACCTTAAATTAGTTGAAAAAGCAGTGGGGAGCAAGTGCATTAAATGCGGTCTCATCATTGAAACATTTCGTAATCCTCTTCCGACACTTCTGATGACGTGACTAGTTAGGGCATGGTGTAATTTATAGTGCCCTTGAGTGTACTCGAGTTGGCAAGTATCCACGAGAGAAAAATCTAGTTTTTAAACTTGTGACTTATCTCTTTAGTTGGACTGAATCCTTCAACATTCGTTGCTTATAAATATGGTGAATTGAATATTTGAAAGTTTTTACAACCTTTATTTTTCAAACTTACAGTAACTTTCCTATAAGGTTTGTTTGTCCCCTTCTTCCTTAACAATACTACTAAAAGCAATTTTCAGTGCTTTACTTAAAGTCTTTTCCTTTCTTTCTCTTCTTCTACTTCATCAATCTCATATAAGCATCACTACTACAAATAACGCATCTAACATAGGACGTGAAATGCATTTTACCTCGGCATTATAAGCGAGGTAAATAAAGTCGTCATAAAAAGTAAATACTTATCACCTCGGTGTTTAAAACACCAAGGTATAACTTTATTAGCGCATGGGTTCGAACCCTAGCTTCTGCACTTTTATTATTTACAAAAACTAACGCCTTTTTTATCTCAATTTATTAAGAAAGCCGAGGGATTATTATTTTTTTAATAAAACTCGTTACATTATTTACACAAAACATTAATAAAATAATTTTTTTACAAACTACAGTGTTTACCTAGATTATTACATTTTTTGCACAGAAAAAAATCAATTGTCCATGAAGATCATATGTTGGATCTTCAATTTCTTGATATTCTGGGCAAGATCAAATGTATGGGAAACTCTTTTCTACCAACAAAAAAAGGTATTATCTATGGCTTTTGCTTGCATTCGTTCCTGATATGAACAAAAACAGGGTTAGACAAAAAAGGGTTAGATAAATAAATAATTTTTTGCTCAATTAAATATTTAAGAACACAAACCTTAAACACAAATAATTTTCTTCTCTTACAATCCATCATAGAGAACTATCCATGGAAAAAACTCTTGCAAACTTTAAACTCTTCATGATGTTGGATCTTCAAATCCTTGATATTCTGGGGAAGATCAAATGATGGGTGCATAATATTCTCTATGGCTTTTGCTTGCATTTATTTTTTATATAAACAAAAAAGGGTTACACAAAAAAAGGGTTAGATAAATAAATGATTTTCTACTCAAATAAATATTTAAGAACACAAACCTTAAACCAAAATAATTTGCTGCTCTTACAATCCATCATAGAGAACTCTTCATGACAAAGACTCTTGCAAATCTTAAAGTGAAGGATAGTTTCAACCGCTTCATAATATTTCAGAATGCTTTTACAATGGAAGTTATTTATGTTTCACGCAGATCATTAACGATAATGTCCTGAGCGTTGATAGTCATGAAATGGGCGATAATGATTTGATTAAGGATTTGATAAATATCCTCAATTTTAACGCTAAATATTCCATCGGGTTTTTAGGAAAACCGGTGGGTTAGAACATTTAATTTACAAATAAAAAATACAATTAAAATAGAAGTTCCAATTTTATCGCTAAATGTTCCCTCAGTTTTTTTTGGAAAACCGACAGGTTAGAGCATTTAATTTACAAATAAAAATACAATTAAAAGAGAGGTTAGAAAACCGATGTGGCGCTCATGCATTATAATCATATCAATAGAATATAAATTATCAGCTATATTCAAGTCGTAATGTCTCTTTTAGATTATCAAGGAGGCTTTTGAGCTATTTAAACGTCTAATTACCAGCTCGTTGTGTTTTCTAAAATTGTTTCAAAGTCTTATCCTATTTTGTATGTCTCATTACCAACTCTTTGTGTGTTGTTTCCTTGTTTCAAAGTCCTTTTTTTCTTATAAAAAATGGATCAAATATGTTGTTCGCTATCAATGAAAAGTATGTTGATTTCAACGATTCGGTCGTTTTGAACTAAGGAAAGTTGTTAACAAACAAAGGTCGAATGGTTACTTCCACATTCTTCATGGCCCCATATACACTAATATCATTAAAGAGTTCTAGATGAATGCCTCCATTATGCCAGCTGGTCCTGATGAAGTCATCAAGTCATATGTCAATAACTCTCATTTCTTCATTACTCCATCATTGATTGCTATGACAATCAACTGTCAAGAGACAAGTAGTTTTTTTGAACACTATGAATTCAAAAATGTCTACTCAACCCAACTTCACCGAATTTATGTCAAACAAAATAAGCTCTCTAGTCCTGCTTCTCTACTCCCAATTATAAAATTTTGGTTTCAACTTCTAGTGGCAAATCTCCGCCCCAGAGAGAAAGACCTGAAAACTCTTACTTGGTGTGACAAGCATCTCTTGTTATTCCTCACCTACAACATTATAGTTAATCTTCCTCTTTCCATTTTAAAATACTTGAAGCAAATGATAAAGACTTCTCGGGAGGAAATAACTTTCCTCATACTTTATGGAAGAGTTCTTTCTGAACTTTTCTATAAGTTAGGGATAATTAGGGGTAATGTTGAAGTTGAGTGGACTGAGAAGTTTGAATTTGTTGAGTAGTTTTCTTTGTTGTGTTGTTTTATTATTATCAATGAAATATTTCCTTTTTATATTATTGCCTATTCTTGTTTATTGATAACAATTTTTTTTAGAATTATTATTTAACAAAAAAACATAGCATCTGGAAAAGATGTCAAGTGGCAAATCATTGAAAAAAGTTTTAAATATGGAAAAAGGGATTCGTAGCGAGGTTCCTTATAGATATATTACCTAGATTCTCAAAAAACCGAGATAACAATTTTATTATTATTTCTATGGATAAAAAAGGCGCTAACTTATAGTTGTGTTACCTCGGTTTTTTATAACGTCGGTGTAACATCTTATTTATCTTATTAAAAAAATAAAACATTGCACTCCCAGGATATATCCTCTTGGTTTTTAGCATGTTGTAGATGAAAGCTTCTTTATAAAAAGTGTTATTCGTTATAGTGCATGTACCATCCAACTCAAACTTTTATCTACAATATTTCCTATTTTTTAGTCATGGTGAGGGATAGTAAGGTTGACCTAGTGAGTGATTCTAAGGTTTAAATTTCATTTACCTCTATAATAGGGACATCCCCTGATTCTCATATCCCTCTTCTTAATAGCAACCACCTAGAACCAAAACTCACCCCCCTATATGACGATTTTGACTCAAAAAGGGTATATGGGAATTCCTTGGAGGAATAAACTTGTTCATTTGGCTCACTAGATGCATTTTTATCAAATGTTAGCGGAAAAGATGATATGTATCTCTTTTGACGACTATGTGATCTTGTTTTATGAGTGTTTGTTTACAAGAATAGGGTTACGGGTGCCTTTTTCTGAATTTGAGATAGTCGTCCTAAAATATTTAAAAGTTACTCATTCCTAACTTCATTTCAGGTCATTGGTGTACATGAGGGTATTTTAGTTGTGTGCTGAGCACAAATATTGGAAACTTTCCCTTGGATTATTATTTAATTTGTTCCATCTGAGGCGCACTTCTCAGGAAAACTTCTGTAATCAGGGGCTCATTTGCTTCCATCAGGTCAATACTGATTCGACACCTTTACTCTGGACTGGGGCGACTTCCTGGGGAGCTTCTTCCTAGTAAAACCCATCACACCTATGACCCATCTAGTTTTCTTCTACCTCCCTTCAAATTCTCCTTGCTTCTACCAGATTTTGTATCCGAAGTATTGGTCTAAAATCCATTTTAACTAGGACGCTCATTCCTACTGTACCAAGTCAGGGGCTTAGCTATGAGGAAGTGTTTGGCTACGGTGAGGTGCCCCTACTAAGGTGAGAAAAATGTGGATTAACACTTATGACATAGTGAATGAATTTATACAGGAGGAGAGTAAAAAGATTTATGGTGAGCTTAGAACCCCTGTGATTTATTTTATATTTGCACATAGAATGGAAAAGGTGAACAAGCTAAATTTGTTATACAACTTTGCAAATGCTTAGGGTATTCAGGCCGTAGTGAATACTAAGCTACTACTTTTTCACCTGCTCTTCAAGCAACCACTGATCCTACTCCCGCCCCTTCTCCTATCCTAGCCACAGAGACTTCTACTTCAGCACCCGAACTAACTTAACTTGTGGATGTTGCAACCATTTTGACCATGGAGGAGTCAACCATGCCTCTAGTTTCAATAAAAAGGACTTGAGATGATAATCAACGATCCCTCGGGATAAGGGTTCTCCAAAACAAACCCGTATCGCCGAAGTTGGTGCTTCTGGAGAATTAATTCCCTTCATGTGGATGTTGGATGTCTTCTCTTTGTGGCTTGCTCGCACTCCTGAAGAGGTTGCTATTAGTGTTTCGACGTTGGATTTATCCTTCATTATGAATCTCGCCAAGGGGGATAAGATGGAACTTCTCTCTTAGCTTACTTATAGTATGTTCAAGGATGCTTTAATATTCTTCCTTTTCTCTGCTTGTCAAGGAGACGTCTTGGCTCTAAGTAATCCCACCAAAGAAAGGGATACTTGGAAAGGTAAATGTGAAGCTATAGAGTTGAGGTGCTCTACTCTCCAGGAGGATCTTACTACACTGAAGAAGGAGGTTAAAGTTTCCAACTCTTTGCAAGAGGAGGTAGAATTTCACGTCTATCCTTCTACTTTAGTGGTTCTGGTGATAAAACTAGAGGATACCCTCATAGATGCGAAGAAGTGACATCAGGATGTTTCTGATTCTGTTAGGCAGGAAACTCGTCATTGAGTTGGGGAACATGCAAAGAAATTTTGCCCCGATGCCATAATTTCAGCTGAGACACTTGACCTATTTTAGTCTACTCCTTGAGTGACTCAGAAATGTGATCCCAGTATCTCAGATCTAAGAGCTTCGACTTGATTTTCCTTTTCCTCTGTATTATTTTGTTTCTCGCTAATTCTTCCCAAGTTTTTGTGCATAGGTGTAACAATTATTAATATTTATAAAAATTCTTTTACCTCGATGATTTGGGTATTGTTTAGAAAAGAGCTTTCCATCTAGCTTCATTTTATTGTTATTTTTATGTTGCATCTTTGGTTGTTCTTTCACCTTGCAGAGCAAAATTTGTTTTCTTAGGTCGAATTGCCGATGTTTGTTGGCTACGACGGGATACCTGTTCCAGTTATGAGAACCATAATTGTTCAGTTTATGGGGGAACTTGTGCATTTTATTATAACGAAGTGACAAATATGCCGCTTAAATTTTATTGTGTTTGTGATTTGCGATTTAGTGCAATGAATGATGTTAGGCACCATTTTTGGTTTCTATACTTATTTGTTGCATTTAGAATTTGTTGTAAGAGTGTATTGATCCATCTACCACGTTGGGAAAGTTTCCCGTGTTCTTTGGGCGAGGCCTGGGATCAGCAAAATTGGTGTGGTGTGGTTGTATCTTTGTATTGTGCTTCGCGTTATAGAGAGTCGTTTCTCGACCAAGGGTAGGAATGTCATCCCTACTCCTAAGGTTTTACTCAGATCAAGGTGGACGTATTTAGGCTCTACCACATACGCCCTTAGATTGGCTAGTTTTTACGTAGAATGTATCAGATGAGAAGTCATGCGAGGAATGAGTTTAAGCCGTATCATAATTGCATATATGTGTTTAGTCTCTATCGACACACAATTAGAAAATGAATACATTTAAGCCGTGTTTGAATCACAAAAACGCATTTAGTCTGTATCAGATACACAATCATACAAACAATACATTTAAGCCATTTTAGAATTGCATATATGCGTTTAGTCTATATCAAATATGCAATTATGAACTTCATCTTTGTTACCCCCTCTCTTGAGCACTCTAGAAGAAAGAGAGACAAATAAGCATATAAAAAAGGAAAAAAGAGAAGATATATATATATATATATATATATATATATATATATATATATATATATATATATATATATATATATATATATATATATATATATATATATATATATATATATATATATATATATATATATATATATATATATATATATATATATATATATATATATATATATATATATATATATATATATATATATATATATATATATATATATATATATATATATATATATATATATATATATATATATATATATATATATATATATATAATGAATTGAATTTGTTACAAAGACACAATAAAATGACTTGACAGATGAACCTTCAACGGTAACCTTTTTGTGGATGGACGTCTGAGTCTTTGGTATTTGTCCTCTTTCAAGGCTTCTGGGTGTATTTCTTCTCTTTAAGGTGACTTTTTTGGTTGGATGAGGTATCGAAGTACCCCACTTTGTATTTCCCACCGAAAGATTGTTGTGTAGCCGACTTCAACGAGGATGTGGCTTGAAAATGATCGTTGAAACCTTAGGACACAGGGGTGGCCTTTGTCGAATGCTCTGACAAGGTTCTTTTCTATCACTAGGGCCGAATTCCTGGCTTATTTTTACTTTATAATGGTTATCTACATCAGGTAGTCCATAGGTGGTCGGCGATCTTCCTAGGGGCGATCTGGCCCAATGGTCAACTTTCCCTAGACCCATGAGGATGGTCGGATGTGGACGAAGTTTCTTTGGAGACCTTCCTCCTTGACTTATGGCTGAAGCTTGGATTATTCTTTTCATCAAGTCTTTCCTTTGGAATGATGGGGCCGGGTGTGGATCAGAAGTAGACATCGACTGGTTTGTACGTTGTTAAAATCTGGGGTATGTTTCCTTTTGGCTTATAGTTTGAGATTATTATTAATTTTTACTATTACGAACATGAGGGTTTGATGGTCGGCTACTTAGAATTGAGTGGTGATGTTCGAAGAATGCTTCTCAAACACTATCGCCTTCGAATTTAGATCAGCGGAAGCAATTGTACTGTATGGGTTGTTCTAGGTTATGGTTTATTTAGTTCTCATGCTTTCCGATCACATTCGTGCCCATACAACTATTCCTTTATTGCACTACCTTAGGATAGTAAGGACATTGTTGTACCCCAAAATTTTCCCTCCCATATTTCTCAATACATGTCAAGTGAGGTCCTCAAATTGCTCAAGGAAGTCCAAGGATTGACCAGACAAACTCTCTCCTAAGGCAGTCTACCTCAAATTAGGGTTTCAGTTTGCATCAAGATGTTTGAGTCCAAAAGATCCCAAATTCTCACCATTGTCCTAATATGTTCTCAAGATCATCCATGACAAGTTTCAAGCCTTGCAAGAAAATTTGCTCAGTCAATTGCTCAAAGGCCTGAAAATCGACTGTGCTAGGGCAAAAGTCAACTGTGACCCACATACAGTCAAACTCCAATATTTTTGGTCAACATTCTAATTTTTAAGTATTATTCACCATTTGATCAAGGGTTTATCATGATTCCTCAAGGATTTCTCACAATTCATCAAAACCCAAAAGATGCTAAATTAGGGTTTTGTAGGAAAAGTCAACTCAACTTTGACCAAGCATAACTTTCTCATACTTTTTCAAAAATGACCCATCCAAATCTCATTTTTAAGAGGATGTAATTCCCTACAATTCATCTTCAGCTCCCAAGTTCAAAATATGCATTCACAAGAAGATATGAATTTGGACATTATAGGTCATTTTGGAAAGTCAACAAAAACACCTTTTGGGTCAAAGATTCATACATGAACATGGAAGATTCAATTGAGATGACACCAAAAGGGTTGCTTATAAGACATCCTAATCTTTCTAAAAAGTCAAGGAACACATCTCTAGGGTAAAAATTGAGGGAGTTGTGCATTAGTGAAGTTGACCCTTTTTGCAAAATTACCAAAAGTCAAAAGTGTCCAAAATTGCATATTTTGTCAAATGGACCCAACTTTTTATGCTTGCACTGAGTTTGTAATGTGACCCTCGACCCATGAGCCCTTCCACTTGTCATTCTTTTATTTTTGTCATTTATTTTGATTTTATTTCATTTAAATCAAATAAAATCAAAATAAAATAGTAAAAATATCAAAAGCTAATCAAATCTTGAGATTTTGTGCATGTTTAGGATCATTACACAATTGGAAGTGAGATCAAATCGTGCAAGGCTCATATGGACATAAAATATTGCATTTTGCTTGATTTGGAAAGATTTGCACAAGGATCAAATCATGAATCAATGATCATAATTGGAAAAGATTTAATACAAGTTGGTAACCCTAATTCATTCTTGGATACATGAGGGACAATTGCATACCAAAAACAAAGAGGCTAGAGGCGTGCAAGAGTGAAAACAAGTTTAAAAAAATTCAAGAAAAGTGGCAAACTGATTTCCACGTTACAGTTCACTTCAAGGCATTTTAACCATCCCAATAGTTTACTGGACATTCCTGGACCGTGTTGCAATCATTAACAAGCTTCCTCACACTCAGAATCGTGCTGTAAGTTTCACACGGTTTCCCTATTTTCTTGAAATCGAATACAATCATTCTAGCATCTTTAACATGATTTATTAGCATATTCTTAATCCTTGAGTTATTTGCAAGCTAATGGTTATGATTAATTGCATTTTTATTGACTGTACATAAAGATGCCATAGTTAGGATTCTTGCTTCGTGTTTAGGGTTTTCTGGTACATGGACAATTGTCTATTAATAATGGTACCATGATGCTCGTGAGGTTGCAACGAGTAGATTGGTACCATTTGTTGTGATTTATCATGCTTGCACAGGGTTTTGGAGATGCACAGGGTAGTACCTACGCCCAGTGCCCGTAGGTAAAAGTTTTTGTCTAAATCGACAGAGGCAACGAGGAAGATAATGGCGTGGCATGTTGTGAATGGGCCATTTGAATTTCGCACGTTTCAGAATTTGTTTTTTGGTTTTATCATATAATAATTGTTTGTCATTATTTGTTCAACTAAGCAAGCCAGCGCAGGTGGTAAGGCCATTGGTCTTTGATGCACACGTCCTGGGTTCGAACCCAGGCGTGTGCATTTTATTTTTCTCAATATTTCCAGGGTAATTCAATGTATCACATGACAAGGCATCCACCATACATCACTAGCGTACAAACCATCAGATCATCAACAAGCCAGATCTAAGGCCTTCCCAATGAAGGTCCACCATGGGCATGAGTCAAGCGCACACATGAGATTGGAAAAGTCAAAAGGGCCATCAGCATCTGGGCCCAGAAAATTGCAAATCACACCCCTCCTTTGCTATTTACCACAGGCCCGTTCTTATTCTATTTTCTATTTTCTTTTATTTATTTAATTTGTTTAATTTATTTTCTAACAAAATTAATTTATTTTTTACAAAAAATCATAAAATCAAATTTCACAAATTTAGAATTAGGTTTTTATTTTATCAAATTTAATTTAATGCTAGTTTAATTTTAATTTAGGTTAATTCTAACTTTTTTTATATATTTAAAATCAATTAGAAAAAGTTAGGGTTAGCTTGATTTAATTTTTATTTCTTTTCATAAAAATAATAAAAAATACAAAAATAAGTAATTTAATTATTTTTCTTAATTTAAATTAATTAAAAATTAGGTTTTTTATTTATTCAATTAAACTTTATTTTCTCAAAAAATAATCGAAAACAACAAAAAATGATTTTTCTTTTTAAGTTAATTAGGTAGTTGGGGTCAAAACCCTAATTCTCTCATTTTAGATTCATCGCGCGCGTTCATATTATTTTTCACAAATATTAATGTAACTGCTCACGATATGTAATAGCTTAATTAGGATTTT